CTTTTAGGCAATATAGGTATATACTAAGTTTCAGTCTTTCTAGTATTAATAACATCAATAATCCATTACTCAATCAAGACTTATTTAAAACCACCCAATCGTGCGATGCTACAATGGATTACTAAATCCGCAGAGAGTGAAAATTGGCAAACGATTCTAGTTGAAAATTTTGAGGAAGAGTGTAAAGTTCACATCGGAATCGATCACAGATATTATCCATCACTGCGAATTCCCCTAACTGATTATGGCAACAGGAGATTGGAGGATTACACACCGTGTAATCTACGCTGGATCATAGAAGATTCTGAAACCAGGATCGATATCGATGATGCGCGACGGTCTGATGCCGGTTTTAATTGAATCGGCAAGAAAAGTTGCAATTAAGAAAATATTCTCGCGAGTCATAAACGCGCGGATGCTAATCCGTTCGGCGAGAGATCACCCGATAGTGACATAACTCACGGTATTTGTTCGTTTTCGACGTTTCGCAAGCAATTACACGCGCTTACCCATTCAGGGGCAAATCCGATTAGCCAGGCTCTGACGACAGTTTCCTGGGTTTATCATTCGTCGGCCCAAGTTCGTATGGCCTCCGCCGCCAGATCTCCCATGTCTTTTATACTCGTCAGGCTTCATCGTATCAAAAATTGCAAAATCTTCACCTGGTAACGCGCTCCTATTGCCAAATTCCATTCGAGTGAAAGTACCATCTGAACTTGCCCTGAAACTTTGATATCTGTTTCAAAGATTTAGTTAAGTTAGGTCACGTTAGATTAGTTTAGGTTGGGCTAGGTATCACTGTAGTCATATGGCAATCGTTATCACTATGTAAGGACAGTAATATTTAAATCAATCGTAGGATTCATTAGAGACAGATGAGTCTTTTGAGTGAAAGAAATATAAAGAAGCACTTTATATCTTTAGACTTGTTCAATCATCGTCTGTTTCTTCATAGTAATTGGTTCGCCACAAAGTATGGTCCCACATTAAACTATCTTTTATACAACCGGATATTTTTGCACATAATTAAAATTGCGTTTAACAAGGAGAATTTCTTATGATTGAAGTATATTAACTCAGGGGGAAGAGATAATTATCTATGCATGTGGTCTCGTTTGGATAGTCGAACGATGATAGTCGATAGTCACGTGCGTGGATCCAATTAAAATTTAAAGCTGTTACAGTCATCATCAACGGGATATCTCTTCCCATGATGCATCGCCGAGAGTGAAGGGAAGATGCGCCGGCTCCTCTCCACCTCCCACACCCAGAGAGCCCGGTCATTCTAATACGTACCGGTTAATACGTGGATATGCAGCGAGCTAAGGATAAACTGTAACAAAGGGTCCGGACGGTATATAAACTCGTCCGTGGATCATCTTCTCAGTTCGCTTCGCGTCTTCGCTCATAACAGCAATATGAATTACCACCAGGTAGGCCAACCACCTCTTCGGTAACGCCGCGTGCTCGTTCACGTTCCTCTTCGTTAGAGGCTCGTTAGATCCGATCAATTTCGACGAGATAACAATTTCATCTTGCTGTTTCAATTAATATGGTTTTAACTAGTGATCATTTACTTAACGATTTCTTCGATTTTTATTTAATTTTACGTGTACTGTAGTGGTAATTGTTTGATACTAATCTCATTTTTATCAGCTCATTGTTCTCTAGTCAAGGAATTTTCTAGTTATACTAATC